TGAATCAACAGTCAGAACTGGGGATATTAAATATTTCATGTACAACGAAGCACACATGTCGAGAAGTACACTCTAATTATAAACTCAGAGTACATTACGACAAGTGCCGATCGTCAAAAAAGCAGAACAGCCGAAACCTTTTCCCTTTGACCTCTACGTTGTTAAAGTTGACGCTCTACTGTTTGAACGCTATCACACAAGGTCAACAATTCTCATAATAAAAAATTTTTTAAAAAAATTTGTAAGCATAATAAAGAAAACATAAAAAAATAAAACACCAAATCAGAACAATGAACAACATGGCATAGCGATCACCGCCATGAATCGAATGTACCAAATTACTTCCTACAAAATCGAATTTTATTGGAGTCCGTGCCCGGCTCATGCCCATAATTATTAGGGGGTATTTAAATTGGCGTCGGCTTCGTGGTTCTTGAGCAGCTGCAGTGCTGGATGCATTTCACATCGTTTTACTGGCTAAAGCCAAACTAGTAAAAGTTAGTCGTCATCAATCACGCTGCATGGACCGGATTTGTCAAATACCTTAGCGATGTCAGAAACATGAGCGATTAACGTCTACCGTCTCTAATACTATTCTTGCTACATACACAATCACGTCCTAGGGGTGATGTCAATGCTGAAATTTAGGAAGCTGTATCAGTTTTGAGGCTGTAAGCGAACAACGTGAAACAGAATAGTAACATTTGGCTAATGGGATAGCATCTTCCGAGCCGAAGACGATAGGAACGTATTAACGTCCTGATGAATGATACTTAAACACACAGATTAGCAGTATAATGATCGATCCCAGATTCTCACTGTGCCGAGACAGATTCATTTGCGGGATCAGAGACTTTGTCTATGCTTCAGTTGTTGCAAAAATGTGGGCATAACTGGGCTCAGACTTCGAAGGTTTTCTTAAAGGAGGTTGAAGCACGAGATGAAAAGAATTAGTCAGAAGTACGTTTCTCAGATTTAAAATATATCTTACAATCTGATCTACCACCACATTTACAGTAGTCGTAGCAGATTAGCAGACCAACGCTGGCGACAAGTTAGAGTACAACTGAAAATGGAACGCCGCTATAAATTATTTACCCTTCGAGTATCGAACAACCACAAACTTGGAGGCCAAACGATTTTCTGTGGTTGACGATGCAAACAGACATAGAAAAAATTTGACAGCAATGACTCAAGAAAAGAACAGCTAGATGTGCCTTAATTAACGCCTCGGTTTGTTTTCTAAAAAATGAAGCTATAATGATAGTATAACCGACGTGGTTGCCTTTAGAGGGGCAATGCTGATTGCGCCATGATCGACAAGGAAGATAGCAAAAGCAAATTTTGTTTAATTCTACTTTTGCAATGGAAACCTGTCCAGTTACGGGCGCTCCGAGACCTGCGACGGGGTTGCGTTCCGAGAACTCATTGTATCCTCCATAATTGTAAGTCAGATGTGAAAATATGCCAAATTGCTGTTGTCATTTAATAAGTAAATAAATAAATGACTACTGAAATAGCCAAACACCAGTAATTGAAAGGGTAACCTCAATTGCAGGATGATGGTGCTGGGGAGGAGGCGGAGGTTATAAATGCATTGTCATCAAGTTCTTTATCTTCCGAAGATTCGCCTTTGCAATCATAACTAATATAACGCAATCGGTCGTCGACATTTGTTTATGGTTCAGGGCAGGCTGCCGATCAGTCATCCCCCCGCCGCTATTACATGTGGTTTTCCTGTCACTAAATGACAAACGATTTGATCAGAGGCTCGACAACAGTAAGCCCTTAACTCAGGTTCCACTCAGTCTAATTCAGTTAGTGAGTATGGCCTGGTTGAACGTTAGCAAGGTCAGCATTGCAATCCAAAGTTGTCGAGCTCAAATCCGCTCAAGGGACAATTTTTTTCGTATTCACCAATTTGTTTAAGCAAGAATTGATGCTATCAGCCGAGAAACGGGTAGTAGGGCTGCGCCTTGCGAATGATTGGGAGCAGCAAAAGATTGTGGTCTGGGAAAACCAGAATAGACAAGACGAGGGATACCGCCACTCTTCCTCATGCGAGATCCCCTTGTAGCCACACTTCAGCTTGACCAACTTAATAATAGACTATCCAGTATAATTATCAATACAAGTTGTCACTTATGACTCTTTCTTTCTTTCTTACTCCAAACGGTAGGACTGAGTGTTTTTCAGCAATAGTTCCAAGGGGTCAAACAGCCTTATTATGTAGCCAGCAGCTC